CCACATGGTAGTTACTTTATTCTAAACCCACGTGGTAACAACTAATCACATTATTGGAAATTAGTTTTTAAATTCAATTTTTGTCATTTAATTTATTATTAATAATATTGATAAAAAAGCCTACTTATTATTGTTGTGATATTCTATTTTATAATTAATAATTAATCATTGTCTTCTGTTCATCCCATTGAACGCCGCCACCATCACCGCCACTGCTAACACCTCCTCCACCGCCGTTAGTGATCGTGTGAATACAAACTTATATATTGTTGGATAATTGATACCCATATTGTATAAACAGGAGAAGTTGAACAAGAATCAAAAGGAGTAATGGAAGTGTAAAGAATGAATGAATCTTTGTTATGGTTTACAAGCCTCCTATAAGGAGTATATATAGGGAAAATCCGGGTCTGAGCCTCTAATATGGGCCTGACAGACTCAGTTACATAAATGGACTGATAGTATAAAAAGCTAATTTAGAACATCTGAATAATAATAATAATAATGTACAATAATATTAATGATATCCGCTAAGCGTGTGTGGGCCGCTGTCCAGGCCTAGTAGTCGGCATACCGGGGGGTCGGAGTCCATATAATCCATCATATATCATAATGATTACATAACTAATTAGTCCAACGACAATAGTAACTAATTTTCTGTCACTTTTTTGCAGTAGTGACTCTACTGTTATCACTAATGACAATAACTACAAAATTCATTACAAACACCATTAGTGAAATCTTTCATTGTAGCGACACGTGACCCATGACTTCTGTTGCCAGTTTTAAAATCCTTCCACTATCACTTACCCCACTCGTGTCATAAGTAATCATGGTACTTACCATATCATCAATTACCCCCATTGATTATATCTTATTCAATCACCATCCATCATTTCAATATTGATTGGTGACTCCCATCACCCTACCCAGTCATTCAAAGTTACTACCTTTATTATCTCGATCACCAGTGGCAAATGTAGGGAAAATAATTATTGGGGCATAATCTCTTAAAATTTTGACTTAAAGTGAAACATTAGACTAACTCAAAACTCAATTATTCAAAATTATATATATATATATATATATTTGATTTAATTGGCATGATATTTTATACTTTTTATTGGAGTTGCGAGTTATTGTATTTGATTTTATAAATGAATTTGATTTAATTGGCATGATATTTGACTAATTATTTATACATTTATGTGAATACTAGTTTTTTACACGCGCATTGCGCGATTGGGTAAATGCTCAATATTATTTATGCAAAATACATTTTTCTAATATTTAATTGGGGTGAGAGTAAACCATTCAAAGAACATCTGATTTGAAGTCTAAAACATAGGCCGTTCATAAGATAATTAGTCTTGTTACTATTTACTAATTTATTCAAAGTGACTTTATTTGTGGCATCATCCTAGATTAACTATTAAATACGAAGTATTACAAGCAAACGAAACCTCAAATCTATCTAATAAAATGGATTCCTTCTCAAAGAATTTTCTTCCATGAATGTGACCTGGTGTCTCTTCTGATCGAAAACCAGCACAACATATTTATAAAAATAACAATAATTCTATGTAGTGTACAAGCTGCTCATTACATACAAGCAAAAATGTCAAACAAAAAGGGTTGAAACGACTAAACGATCATGATGATGATCATGATGATGATAGTACCAGGGACGGAACTATGTATATGTCTAGGGGGGCCATTGCCCCTCCCAACATTTTTATTTTTTTAATTATTGGCTTGTAATTTATTTTTTTGCCCCCCCCCAAATTTGTATTTCCTCTAGTAGGATAGTAGTTCAAAATATGTTTATAGTTATACTCCGTACTATGTTTATAATTTTTTAATACTTCATTAAAATATCATATGTATAAAAGCATTATAAGTAGTATATTCTAGAAGTAGTCATTTTGGAAAATATTAATCTATAACAACACTATATTTTGAAGAAGTGATTATTACTCCATAAATAATACTCGGTACTCCGTATGTAAAAATATATTATTAATAATATATTATGGAGTAATATTGGAGATATCCGTCTTAAAGTATCAAATATAAAAGAAATATAAGAAAAAATTGAGATACTAATTTAATAAACTTTAAGAGAAGTATATTATGTAATACTCCCTCCATCCCTTAAAACTTTGACATCTTTCTTTTTCGGGACGTCCCAAAAAATTTTGCCACTTTCCCTTTTAATCAATTATTTTGTGGTTTCTATTATTTCTCTCTCCTCTGCACAAACCTCAATCACACAGCTTTTACTTTATTATTCTCCGTGCCGGTCAACTTTGGCAAAGTTTTAAGGGACGGAGGTAGTAGCATTTTGCCCCCCCTACCCTCACCTCCTGGCTCCGCCCCTGGATAGTACTATTAATATTAATAATAATAAGATTATTGATGATGATGATAACATTAATACTAACAATAACAATAATAATAATATATAGTTTATTAATAATGTAAACATTTATGTTAATATTATAGTTCAATAATGTTCTTATTTTTCAGATATTAGTAGCAAAAACTTATGGTTTTATATTTATAAATACATACAAATAACAACAAAAACGATAAATAATAATAACCACAATAATAATGAATCATAATATTGATAATAATATGGATAATGATAATATTGATAATAAATATTAATAATAATAAACTATATTATTGATAACAACAAAAACAATAAATTATGATAACCACAATAATATTAAAAGTAATCATAATATTGATAATAATATGAATAATGCTGATGTTGATAATAAATTAGTAATATTGATAATAATAATAATAATAATAATAATAATCGAGTCCAATTAAATTAATTAGGGGTGAGCAATTCGGTATACGGTTCGGTTTTCTTCGGTTTCGGTTCGGTTTCGGTTTATTCGGGTTGGGAGAATTTGTACCAAACTAAAACCATTTGTGTTTCAGTTTGGTTTTGGTTCGGTTTCGGTTCGGTTTATCAAAGTAAAAAATATTATGTTTAATTTAGTTTGGTTTGATTCATTTGCTTATGTTTATTATTTAATCTGATCAAGTTCTATATTTTAGAATTAGAAAATGAAAGTAGTAGTTCTTCTCATCTTTTTTTTTAATTTATTGATTGTTTAAATAAAATGTAAAAGGAAATAAAAGATAGAAAAATAAATAATAAAATATTATAAATTAAAACTTCTAACAACTTTTTTATCACTACAAAAAATTCTATTCCTACAAAAATAAGATAGTTGATTAGCATTTGTAATATCGCATAAATATTCAAAAAAACTAAAAGAGTCGGTGGTACAAATGTTGTAATATTCACAATTTTATTCAAATGAATCATGTAAAAATATAAATGCAATTTACTATTGTTATCGCCTAACATAATAAATACTCCGTACAAATATGTCATATTAGCTAAATTTGTCATAATGAATGTATGAAATGGGTAAAAATTAAAATGATACGTGTATATGCTTAAATATGTCTATTCATGTCTAAATTATTTATTTATATCTTAAAAATGAAGAGTGAAGATAAATGTAAAGTATATATATGTATATGTTGTTTGGTGTTCGGTTCGGTTTACGTTTTTCCGTTTTAAACCAAACCAAACCAAAGTACTAAACCATTCGCTTTGAGCAAATGTTTACCAAACGATTTACTTAACTAAACCCAAACCAAACCAAATCAAACCACCAATGTTAATAATATATGAATTTTTTTTGAGTTTCTTTAGTTCGGTTCGGTTCGGTTCGGTTCGGTTCGGTTTAATACAGTTTGAAAGAAATAGTACCAAACTCAAACCAAATTGCATATGGTCCGGTTTCGATTCGATTTAGTTCGGTTTGACACGATTCAGTTTGGTTAAACCAAACCGTTATGCCCACACCTAAAATTAATCCACCCCAATATCCTAAGCTGAAGCTTGGGAGACACTCCAAATCATATTCTGGAAATAATACTCGGTAGAAAATTTGTGGCTTCTACCTAGGGGTGGGCAAAAATACCTAAATATCGGTATACCGCACTTACCGTACCGAAAAATACCGGAAAATACCGAAATATTGGTATACCGTCATTTTCGGTACGGTATCATACCGTACCGGTCTATTTCGGTACGGTAACGGTAAATGTTTTCAAATACCGCGGTATACCGGTATAATACCGTACCGACTCCCTACTCAACAATTACTTTTAATTCTAATATATTGTAGAAATCCATTACAATTTTGAAGCCCAAAATTAATACTTAAGTTGGTTACAAATACAAAAATACAAAAATAAAGGTCCAATTTCTCAAACGCACTGTAACCTTATAGGCTTCTACTACGCTAACCTTAAATGACTAATGAGTAATGTACAAATGTCAAGAAACAAGTTCATCTTGTTCCAAGAGCTTGCAAGTCGTGATGGTTGGGCCGCTAAGTAGCTGACGAGTGAAGATAGATACACTTATGTGACAAGTGTATCTATATAGGGATTCAGCGAGTCGAGACACACAACTTTGTCCGAAAGTCTTATTCAATTTTTAAAAAATTATAAAAATGACTAAATACACAATATCATATTAGGAATAAATGATTTTATATCCATGTTGTTTGTATAGTTTTATTTATTTTTGTTAGAGATCACTATTGATTTAATTATATCTATATTGTTTAAGTTATTTTAGGAGAATGTGTTACTTTTTAATATGTGGTATGTTGAACTGCTTAAATATACTAATAATAATTATTGTTCAATATTGAATTGACATCAATAGATTATTAATTGTATTTCGTAACATTTTAATAATAGATTTAATATGTCGCTAGTAATAACGATTTAGTATATTTCGTTAGTCTATGATAATTTTTTGTATTGGGAGACATGCACGGTAATTTACCGATACCGTACCGTTACCGAACCGAAACTTCGGTATACCGAAATGCGGTATACCGAAACTTCGGTAAGGTAAAGGTATGCAAATTTTGCATACCGAAAGTTTTGGTATGGCAAAGGTATGAGAAAAAATATAAGGTATACCGTACGGAACCACCCCTACTCCTACGGCTTTGAAGCTGTTAAAACTTAAAACTTCAAAACTCCATTCTTGCTTATCTTCACAGTTTATGCTTTAAACTCCAGCTTCTTGAATATCCTGTCTTCCGATCAAATTTCTCATTTTGGATATGAATGAAGGAGATGAAGCCGTTCATCGTCGGAATACCATCTTAGATCACCGAAAGAAGCTACTTCAGCACAAAGAGCTCGAATCTAGACTTCGAACAGGTGCTGTCTTTGATAATTTCTGGTATTTCGAATTTATGTGCTTCTTTAGCTCTAATTCTAACATAATGTTTGCTCTCTCAAGATTTGGATGCCTGACTGTGACTCTGAGTATTTATTTGTCTTTCTTGAATCTTGCTTAATGCAATTATTTGTGAATGATAAAAATGCAGTAAGGGATAATTTGAGAGCTGCAAAGAAGGATTTCAATAAAACTGAGGATGATTTGAAGTCTCTACAGAGCATTGGTCAGATTATTGGTGAAGTTCTTCGGCCTCTTGACCATGAACGAAGTAATTTCTTTTACATTGTCTCTGATTCTTTTATCATTATACTCTGTATCCCATGACCCATACATATTGTTATGATTCTCATCCCTAGTCACACGTGCGTATATTTACCCTTTTTTTTTATCAATGGTGAATATGGTATAAGTTCCTCGAGAGAATGGTTATGGTAGACTAAGTGAGGATGAATGGGAGACAGAATACTACTTGCATTTGTTTTAGAAATGAATAGACAGGAATAGAATATGGTCGTTCATGAGTAGCTAAGGGAACATGTTTTTCCTCAAGAAATGGATTGGGGTTCTTCAACATAAATCATAAAGTTAGCTATTTTGGGTAAACAAACACTGGAAAAATTCAAAATTTGGTTTCCTATGCTTTCTGAAATCATTATCCCAAACTAAAAGTGACTTTAGCTTCAACCACTATTCTAATATTACCCGCAATGGTAAGTTTATGGGAACATCATGTAATATTACCTGTAAAAGGTTTAATCTTTTGTTTGTTGTGTGCGTATGTGGGGGGGTCGTTTATGGGAACTTCATGTAATTTCTGTAGGCCTTGAGGCGTAAGTATCAAAATTTACCAACAAGTAAAACTTAAAATAGTTAAACTAGTAATGAAACTAATGACCAACTATAGATATGTATAATAAAAGTCCAAGTCTCAAGGTCAAGCACATATATGATCACATTATCAAACACGATAACTCAAAATGAGAATTCAAACACAAAACAGACACATCATGCAGATGACAATTTAAAACTCTCGAAAGTTAATCATAATGACTGGAAGGTTTTCGGAAGAATCATTATATCTTATAGCCTTGTGACAAGGCCCTTGTCACGGTCATCCCTTCCATCATCACTATCAAAATCCGAAAATCTTTTGTCTTTTTCTTCGTTTACCTCCATTACTTGTTCATTTTTCTTATTTTTTCCTTGGTGTCCCATCTGCTTGTATGTGCAGAAGTATGAATAAATTTTAACTGTTAGGATTTAAATGAAACAAGACTTGTTAGGGTTTAGCGCAGACACATGTTTAATGTATGGGCCTTTATAAGCTACCAGTACATTAAAAGGAAAGAAGCCAAGGAAAAACGCCTCAGAAAAACACCTCAAGGCGCGCCTCAGGACATACACTTTGACTTTTGAGGTGTAAGCCTCTTGTCCTGCACAGAACAACCTAAGCCTCAAAACCCATCCTGTAAACACCTTTTAAACCATGCCTGCCTGTAATAAAACATTGCATCGGTATATTCGGTAATCATGCTTTATAACTCCTGCATCCCCATATTCGTATATTTCTCATTGGAAAGTATGTGCATGAGGTTTTTGTTCATGGGTACATAAGCATCTGAATTGAATTCATTGACATTGGTTATTGTATTGGAATGGTTAACAACAGATCACATTTTCATTTATTCTAGTGATTGTCAAAGCAAGCAGTGGCCCAAGATACGTTGTTGGCTGCCGTAATAAACTTGACAAGGAAAAATTGATAGCTGGAACTAGGGTTGTCCTTGACATGACTACCCTCACCATCATGCGAGGTCTCCCACGTGAGGTCTGATTCTTACCCCTTTGTTGTCATGCAAGTTCTTTTTGTGTACATTAGGGTATGTTTGGGAATATGATGCTTTTTGTGGCAGGGATGGTGGGGTTACGGTAATTAATAAGTGTTGATGATACGCAGTTCATACCAGTTTATCAATTTTTATCTTTTACTGTTGAAGGCTATCAAGTAAAATATTAAATTCAGCATTTCCCCTCCATAGTCCCTTCCCCTTGAAAATCCTCCATATAAACATCCATTAGTTTTTTTTTGAATGTTGACTCTGGCCTAATGCTTGAATAAGTGTTTTAGAATAGTTGTTCTGTGTGGCTCAATTGTTAGTATATTTTACTAATCAAACATTTTTCGGTGTGATGTTATTCTACAGGTTGACCCTATGATTTATAACATGCTCCATGAGGATCCTGGAAATGTTAGTTACTCTGCTGTTGGTGGTTTGTCAGATCAAATTAGAGAACTTCGTGAATCTATTGAACTGCCTCTAATGAATCCTGAGCTCTTCCTTAGGGTTGGAATAAAGCCTCCAAAGGTATTTTTCTACATAAAGAACTACTAAAGAAGTTTTGGGATTTCATTATCTTTAACTGAAAAACAGAGTATGAATGTACTCCGGTCTGTGGCTTAAGAGTTAAGAAGCATCGTCTATGATTTCAGGGTGTTCTTCTCTATGGGCCTCCTGGTACGGGGAAGACATTGCTTGCTAGAGCTATTGCCAGCAACATCGATGCCAACTTTTTAAAGGTTACTGCAGATTTCCGATCATTCTTTGGTGTTTTAGATTTGGCCCATTGTATTCCATTCTCTCATTTTGTTCCTTGTAGATTGTTTCAAGTGCCATAATCGATAAATACATTGGCGAAAGTGCAAGGTTGATTCGAGAAATGTTTAACTATGCTCGTGATCATCAGGTTAGACTACTTTAGCCCGAACATATAATCAAATGGATGTCTATCATCTCTAATTTTTTTTAATGATTCTCTTTTATTTAACAGCCATGCATAATCTTTATGGATGAGATTGATGCAATTGGTGGAAGACGTTTTAGTGAGGGAACAAGTGCTGATCGTGAGATTCAGAGAACACTCATGGAGTTACTTAATCAGATGGATGGATTTGATCAGCTTGGGAAGGTATAGTGCAATATCTGTTCTATTTTTTTGTGGATAAAATGTTTGATCAAACTGTAGAATTATGTAACTTTTAGCAGGACGATATACGTTCCCATATTTATCTGCTATGAAAGTTCAAATGCCTAGTAATATTTGTATGTATTTAACTATTTATTTATTTTGACAAATCTCTTTTGTAGGTGAAAATGATAATGGCAACAAATAGACCTGATGTTCTTGACCCCGCACTTCTCCGACCTGGACGTCTCGACCGGAAGATTGAAATTCCTTTGCCAAATGAGCAGTCAAGAATGGAAGTTCTTAAAATACATGCTGCTGGGATAGCTAAGCATGGTGAAATTGATTATGAAGCTGTTGTTAAACTTGCAGAAGTTAGTGTCTAGTATATATGATGTTTTAATATGTTCTTTTCTTTGATTTTTACACAATTATGAATCTTTAAATTGTTTTCAGGGCTTCAATGGAGCTGATCTCCGGAATGTATGTACTGAGGCTGGAATGTCAGCTATCCGTGCAGAAAGAGATTATGTTATCCATGAAGACTTTATGAAGGTAGCCAAATTTTAAATCTTCTCATGGCTTCTGTGTGATTTATACTATTGGAAAAAGCTTATAATGTCCCTCTTTAATAGAATGCCAGTAGAACAGATGCGATATAATTATAGCTATTTGTTAAGTTAACAGATAACTATCATGATTGTTATTTTTAGGCTGTCCGGAAGCTCAACGAGGCTAAGAAGCTTGAATCCAGTTCTCACTACAATTCAGATTTCGGAAAAGACTAGTTGAAAAAAATGCTTCTTATTGAGACTCGATAGTGACCCCAGGGAAAGTAGATGCATGGGGATGTAAAAACAGTGTCGCATGGTAATTAGAACTTAAGCTGATGCATCAATAGATGAAGACAACTCCCACCCTGCCCTCCAGAAAACAGTGTAGTATGCACATACATGGCTCTTTTCTGACATGGGAAAACTTTTTTTTCTTTCAGGTTTTGAACATTTGGTGTTCTTTTGATCTAGTTAATAAACTTGTTTTTGTTGCCTTCTATATGTCCGTATGTGTGTGCATGGTAACAACTAACAAGTTGGCCAAACAGGATTTCGATAGCTTAAAGTTGCATTGTGGTGTTCGTGCCATTTGTGATGTTTGGTGCAGAACGTGTAATATCAAACATTGGCAGTGGATATTAAGAGACCGTACTTGGTAACTGTATTGATTTTATTCTACTTGTTGGCAGACTAATTTACTTGATATACTTATCTGGATGAATTGGTTCTATTAAATGCTTTTTCGTGCAAAATGATTCGGCTTTATACCACTTGAACCAAATAACTCTTGCCAATCAGGCCTTTAACTGCTTAAAGTATCAGTTTTTCTGTTTGATTTTGACCATTTGTTCCATGTAGACTGTGATACGGTTTTTACTGGAAACTGAACTGTTTGAAGCTGGGCATTTTTTTGGTTGGTTTTCCACCTCCTTCACGATAGAACCAGACCTGCTGTAATGGATTTTGGTACCAGGATTTTGTTAAATTAGGTCATGTTATCACTGGGTACCAGGATCTCCAAAACTGGACATGTATTTCCGGTTTTGGATATGATTTCTACTTTCTAGGGGTCATTAAGTCACTTGTGTCCAAAACCCTTCCATGTGAACAGAAGCACAAGAAATGCAAAACAAGAAACACCATTTGTAAAGGAAAGTATCTGTATGGAAAATTATGCCAAGGGTTTAAGAATATATATTGAATAAATTTAGAAACCTAGAAATAGTCTCAAAAGTTTTGGTGAATCATATGTAACAATAACTCTTCTGCTAGTAGATGTATTTTATCAACATTGCCATCATTGTTTCTTTGAATTGAAACTTTTGATTTTATTTTTCTTGGATAATTTGTATGTAAGCATTCTTAAGATCTTGTAGAACCAGAACGCACTGACAAGCAGCAGCCCAACAGCCATTGCCTGCACACATAAAAACATAATTTCAACTTACTGTAGTAAAAACCCATTATAGTAGGGAGTATTACTATACAGAATTCCTCAGAGAAGATGATAGTGACATAATACCTTGATTAGAATGGGATTATTTGCAGATACAGTGACATAAGCGAGGTAGGATCCTACTACCATCCTGCCAAAGGAGAAAATGGCTGCGAAGCAAATCTGTGAAAAAATCACCACCGTATATCAGGCTATCAGCAATGTTGTACATCTACCACTGTACAAGTCTGAATCAGGGTGTATTCAGGAGCAAAAGTTGGGGTGAGCAGTTGTAAAGAATTTTCCAAATAAATTTCTACTTATATATTTTTACACTAGAAATATAAATAAATTTCAAATTTGGGTGGGCTGGAGCCCGAACACATAAGCGGAATAAGAAGTACTTCATAGTTTTCTGAACATAAGGCAATTACTGTTTAGTTTAGATGTTTAAAAGTGTCCAACATAAGCCATAAGGCAGTTTTTGTTTACCAAATGGGTTATTGTTTTCCTCTTGTGGGCTATGTTGTCAAAACCGGACCAGGAGGCGACCCGGGCAAGAGACCGGCTCAAGGGTCAACCCAGACCTGGGAGGGTCAACCCGGTCAATGACCCTAACCCGGTCAACGTTTATAAAAAATAAAATTATATGTATATACCTGGGAGTATGTATTAGATATAAGTTGTATGCCGAAAAGTCACTCGTTCAAAATTGAATAATGGTAATAAGATTAAATTAAAAATAATGTATTGATGTATAATTTTTTCCAAAAAAATCATAATGTTTGGACTTAAATGAATAACATCTGAACATAATATTTATATAAAAATTTAAAAGTACGATTCATAGATCAAATAAATACTTAAAATATGAAGTAGTCTTTTAATATAGTAATAGTGATCAATAGCAAAGAATAGTTATTATTGTAACCACTATTAATAAATAATTGTAGTATGAAAATATGTACTATACGAAAAATGAACGAATGCATTACCACACCAACACATGGTCGAGATGGTTTGATGGCCGCATGCTGAACATGAAGTCCAGGGATTGAATCCCTGTGGCATTTAAGTTTTTAATGGAGTTCATTCACCAAGTCCGGTTTTCGTGTAAAAATGCGGGTTTACCGGGTTTTTACCGGTCCGGGTCCGTCCCGGGTTAGGGCGGGCTACCGGGTCAGGCCCAGACACAGCTTGTGGGTGGATATTTTTCTCGATTATAACTAAAACTAACAAATTGTTCAACTATCCATTTGATTCCAAACAACCACAAAGAACACATAATTACCCTCAATATACTTATTTTCAAGTATGGTGTATAACATGGGATCTGCTCTAAACACCTAAGATTTTAAAAGTTCTTGAACTCACATCTGCAATAAGATTAAGGATGGTGTCTCTATAACCTAGCTCTTTGAGAAGCTCCCTCATATGGAGAAAAGGACTGGAGACTTCTGCTATCCACAATGCTGCCACCATCTCTGTTCCACACTAAACATGTCCCCAATCAACAATTAAGATGAGAATCAGTGAAAAACTTCTAAAATGAGCACATAGGAATAATATATATAAGTAAATAAACCTAGACAATATAGTGAATTCAACTTACCATCTGATATGCAATTCCAGCTCCAATCCCCACAATGGTGATCAAATGGTGCACCAAATCATCAACCTTCAATTTGTTATGTGATAAACAACATCCCATATCATATATCATGTAGCCAGCAGTGATTGCTAAAATCCTCATCTGCATTTATTGCCAGTGAACCGGCCCAGCCCAGTAACATCAGTTAGGATTTGGGAAACTATTCAAAAAGCACCAAGTTTGAAATACATTTCACAAAACAGTTATACAAAGAATACACAAAAAAAAACTTTCTTGACAGTTGACAATAAGGTACATTGATCACAACATTAGATTAGATGAGGAATAAGTTGCTAAATTAAAGCTGTATACGAATACTGGAATTAAACTTGATGAATTACCAAAAAAATACTCAAATGAATCATAAAAATTTCAGTATGTCTAGTGATTCCAAATGTAAAATTATGTAGAAATATTTTCATGTGTCGCACATTTTATACGGAGTACTACGTATAATTTATTTAATAATTTGTTATGATGTTCAGAAAAAAAATCGTTCTAAATATATAAATTTAATTATTAATTAATACTTCCTCTATTCTTAAATAAGTTCAAAAGTCTACTTTTCACGATTGCCAATGCACAACTTTGGTCATTAACATATATTATTCTCTATTAGTAAAAAAAAATTAAAAATCAAATTCCGAAAATTTACAATGAAACAAATGTAACATTATTTGAAAATTAATAGTTTATAAATACATTAATAAATAAAGTGTAATCAAGGTAGCCATGTGAATAATATAAAATTAAAGATTTTGCACTTATTTAAGTACTGAGAAAGTACAAGAGCCCGTTTGATAACACTGAAATCGTTTGAATTGGCTGAATCGGCTGATCCTGCTGAAATTTATGAAGTTCTGGCTTAAATGGTTGTATTGGCTCTGTTGATTTATGAAAAAATTAAATTTAAAATATATTTTATTAATAAAATAAAGAAAAAATGTATGTAAAATAGATAAAATGGTCCTCTATAGTAACTTCAGCCGAAACAGCCAGAAAACTAGAAAAGTAACTTCAACCTTACTTTTTCTTATTATTACACATTTCAGCGCGCGTAATCACAAGTTTCGTGTTTGGTGAAAAGTTGGCTAATAAGTCGAATAAATTATTACAAATAGACAACTTTATCCTCGGTGTAGTGATCACTTATGTGTATTCATTTACCTGGTGAGGGGTAGATTTGGAAGCGAGGGGGCAAAAAGGGCAGGACCAATCATGAACAGAGAGAGTAGCCAACGTCACAGCCAATGAAGCATGGATGACAGAAACGGTCCGGTTGCAGAAATTGAAAGAGCGTTTGGAGAGAAGCCTTGTGGTCAACAAAAACAGCGTTGACCATGAAAACACACTCAAAACCACTGTTTTTATGATATTCTCTTCTTCTTTGCTATCCAAGAAAGAATGGCTGAAATAAGCTTCTGCCATCTTCAGAGCCTTCAGAGGATGTGTGCACCAATGATGTGATGATAATTATGATGATTATGATGATGATGATACACCCTTTTATGGGATATATGTATATATAGTGAAATAGGAAGATGATGAATTGATGATTAATACTACTAATTAAATGTAAGTGGTTCAGATGATTACACATAAGTCTCTGTTTCATAAATTAATGGTTGAAATATTGGTTGAGTAATTAGTTGTAGAAAGCAGCATACATAGCCCCCAGATTGTATTTGCTGTGTAACCTGCATAACCAACTGTCCCACTTAATTAATAAGACATGGACTTGCTACTTACAATAGTACATTGTTCCATCTGCCTAGGGGTGGTTCGGTACAGTATACCGAATATTTTATCTCATACCTTTACCATACCGTAAATTTTCGGTATGCAAAAATACATACCGTTACTATACCGAAAATTTCGGTATATCTTGTTTCGGTATACCGAAATTTCGGTACGGTAAGGTACAGTATCGGTAAATTATCATGATTAATATAACAAAATATCATATGTCAAATAAACTATTGAAAATCAGTTTTAATAGTGATATACTACAATCATTAATGAAATTAATTATAAAATACCAATGATAACCTATTGATGTTCTATTCAACTTTGAACAAAAAATATTATAATTATGTTTAGATATTTCAACACTTGATACATGAAGATAACAAAACATTATACTAAAAAAATTCAAACAACATAAATATAATTAAAATAAAATTGATCTCCAACAAAAAGTATAAATGATTCAAGAAAGATGGATATAAAGTCATTTATCCTTGAATTAGTGTTGTGTTTCTAGTTATTTTTATAATTTTAAATAAGTTATTGGCTTGGAATTCGGTATGACGGTATAGCGGTATACCGTTTATTTCTAAAATATATACCGATACCATACTGAAGTAATTCGGTACGGTATCATACCAAACCAAAAGTGTCGGTATACCAAACATTTCGGTAAATTCGGTATTTTTTGATATGGTAAGTCCGGTATACCGAAATTTCGGTATTTCCCCTCACCCCTACATCTGCCTGCCTAATTGTGTGTCTAATTAAAGCCACACCTCTTTGTCTTATATGAGATCAACCAGGGGCGGATCCAGGATTTCATGTTGGGGTAGGCTGAAATATTTAAATGATACTACCTCCGTCCCGCTAAGATTGTCCCATTTTATTTTTTCGGCCCGTCCCACTAAGATTGTCTCATACCAAATTAGGCAAAATTTGTGTAGCTCCAAATTATTCTTACTTTATTCTTACTTTATTAATTCAATATCAACCACATAACTCACTTTTTATTAGTTTGCGTGTCACTCCCTCTTGTCCCATTGTTAGTGGGACGGAGGGAGTAATACATTAAAAAATTTCAAATAAGGAAAAAAAATATAAAAGTTCTCCACTAAAGTTGTTCTCGATGAGTCAACAATAGAGCCTACATCTATACTAAGAGTAGAGTCTCTTTTAATATAAAGTGTCATGAAATTTGCAAGAAAGTCATCCGCCATTTTGTCGTAGAGTGTTGTATTTAGAAGTTTCATGAGAGAGAATGATCGCTCTCTATTTGATTTAGCAATAGCTAAGATCAATACAAGCGAATCAATCTGCTCTCCATAACATATGAATCAGATCTTCTGCTCTTAGTGAACTCCTCACATAATTCAACAAGTGTAGATACTTGAAATTTTGTATTAGGAATCACATCGATCGTGAACATAGTGTTGCAACTCAAATTCCAAAGCACGAATATCCCGACTAGTAAAATCTTCGGGATAGAACCTCCTTGCAAGAGTACAAAAAATATCGGCATTGAAGGACTCATTTGAGTTTTTAGGATCCGATGAAGCACTCAAAGAAAGGAGTTTCATTGATTTATCATTAAACTGGGTCCTTAACTCCATTAATACAAAGTATATTGCCTCGTTGAAAAAGTCAAAGTGATAAGGATGCTCAAATGTAGTTTGATTGGCGGACCTACATGGCTACACAGAGGCACATACAGATGTTGGCACTTGGGTCCTGGAGTGGTCGGCGACTCGGCACTCGACAGCGATTGAATAGCTTTATCGAATTCGGCTGATGCAGATTCTTGCATTGCGGAAATCGCAATGTCGATGATGAAGAGTCAAAGGGCGAAGACTTGCTCGCTTCATCCCAGATGCGAGGCTATTAGCCTATTACTTTTCTTCATTTTTATTGAATTTGAGTTAGTGGGCTACATAATCAATACTACTACTAATTTTTTGAGCTTTCTATTTTTTGAGGTCCTATGCCATTGCACAGGCTGCCCCTCCCCTGAGTCGGTCCTATCGTGATGCGTATAACATTTAGATTAGATTTATTTTTAGATGACAAGATTTTGTTTTATAGGCTGAGCTGAAAATTTGGACCGGGAAATATAAAAGTTTGGGGTGGGTTATAGAAAAATTTGGAATGGGCTGGATGAAAATATTTAAAAATACTACTTTAAAAAAAATTTAATTTTTAACTTTGCCCTGGACTTCATCCCACTAGAGCCCTAACATAGATCCTCCCCTGAGATCAACAAAACAAATACTCCGTAAAAGATTGAGTATATATAGAATCATCAAAGACAAGAGGGGCCCACAATCCGAGTCGGTACTTTAACCCAAACCCGAATGTGTAAGACTTTGTTCTTAGTACTGTTTACTTGGATTGAGTATAGGATGCATGTTAAAGAGTAGTGGTGCCGTGGTGGAGACCGGAAAGGGATATAGGGGGGCCTTCCCATGCCCAAAAAAGTACTCCGTATATCGTGTATATATATATGATAAATATTTATAACATGTAAATTTGTGTTGATGTTTTAAACTTTGATCTCCCCAATAAAAAGTTTCCCGATATAAAGTTTTCGTTCCTGACCATCTATACATACATTTCTGACTTCACCATTACCTAAAAGTATCCACAACTCCTTTAATAAGAAGTGATTATTGGGCACAAGAGTCCTAGGTAGGGGCGGAGATTACTAGGCCGGACTGGGCCGGATTAGGCTAGTACAAAGATTTTTTTTTGAAAAAAAAATTACAAAATTTTTTACTTTAAAAATTAAGCCATTTTTAATATTTGGGGTGAGCCAGGGCCTAGGTTGGCCCACGCCTAGCTCCGCCCATGGTCCTAGGTGTATTGCTGAGCGGGCTCCGCCATAAGGTGGCAGGACTACTAGTCCACTACTCAGCCATATATTTGAACCATTTTTTTTAAAGAAGCCATATATTTGAACCATTAGAAAATGTTAACTAATAACAAACGAAAATCAGTTATGCATCTAAAAATCTAATTATATCCCTAAATAAGAATGAGAAACAATATCAAGCACTTGAATGATAGGAAGTAGTTTACGTTTACTCAACAAATCAACATGGGGATACCGTTGATATTTCTTTCATTCTTTGGGTCACTGACGATAATGCATGTTTAAATTAGGATGACCCACTTCCACAAGACCACAAGTGTTTGTACTATCCAATATTTTGGTCAGCTACAGAGTATCTTTTGCTGTAGAAATATAAAATTAAAAAATCTTGACTAATTAAGGCATTTGGATACATGCTGTATGTTTATATCTAGGGGTGGTTTGGTACGGTATACCTAAGATTTTATCTCATACCTTTACCATACCGTAAACTTTCGGTATGCAAAAATACATACCGTTACCATACCTAAATTTCGGTATACCTTGTTTCGGTATACCAAAATTTCGGTGCGGTAAGCTACGGTATCGGTAAATTATCATGATTTAATATCGAATTATTATATATCAAATGAAATATAGAAAATTAGTGTTAATAGTGATATACTAAAATTATTAATGAAATTAATTATAAAATACCAATGATAACTTATTTGTGTTCTATTCAACTTTGAACAAAAAAATATTATATATATGTACGGATACTTCAACACATGATATATGAAGATAACAACACATTTTGCTAAAATAATAATTTAAACAACATAAATATATTTGAAATAACATCGATCTCCAACAAAAAGTATAAATAATTCAAGAAACATGGATATAAAGTCATTATCCTTGAATTAATGTTGTGTTTCTAGTTATTTTTATAATTTTAAATAAATTATTGGCTTGGAATTACGGTATGACGGTATAACGGTATACCGTTTATTTCCAAAATATATACCGATATCATACCGAAGTAATTCGGTACGGTATCATACCGTACCAAAAGTGTCGGTATACCAAACACTTTGGTAAATTCGGTATTTTTCGGTATGGTAAGTCCGGTATACCGAAATTTCGGTATTTTTCCCCACCCCTATTTATATCAACCATAAATTTATAGTGGTGTTTTAAATGGAATCACAAGTCAGATGCACTTCGTTTTTATGGTGAGGTGAGAAGGGTGCAAGTCCGTGTAACTATCTTTTTGTGGTGTTAAATTTTGATTTTTTCAACTTTGGATTCCTCTAAAATTCATTGCTTGTACATCATTCATTGTATTTACTGTATTTTTTTGAGTGATCGAGCTTTCTAAACCATTACGGAGTACAATATAGTCCCTCAGTTCTTAAATAAATGCAGTGGAATTTTACACTATTCACATGTTCTACTTTTATTGTGCTTTATTTATTAATATACTTTGATTTGTTTCATCCTAAATTTTCAAAATCTGAATTTTTTGTTTTTTACCAAAAAAAGAATTAAATATACTAATGGTCAAAGTTGTGCATCAGCAAACGCGAAAAATTTATTGTTGCATTTATTTAAGAACAGAGGTAGTATATTCAATGTTAATGTTATATAAAGCCAACAACATCCTCAAAGTATGGTTTGATTGGAATACATGATCTCCTCATTAAGAGTGTCACATTCGTTTCTACGAACCACAAGGCACTTGGTGTGTGTCATTTCACTTTATCGCTTGGGAAATTGCCAGTTTCTATGTAAGAGAAATAAATTAATTTTTAAAATTTAACTTCAGCAATCAACTTAACTATCAAAAGACTTAATTTTGCGTACAAAATTTAATCGAAGAAACAAATAATACGAATTTAAAATATTTTGAAAACAATTTAGCTAAAATATAATACTACGTATTTTGAACTATTCTCCTTATATAGTATTATTACGTAGTATATCTTTCATTTTCAATCTAATCCCACTGATATAATTTGTTTGCACCCCATTTTATTGTCAAAATTTGATTTTGCACCCCGTTTTAAAAAATCTTTGTTTTAAAAAATCTTTGTTTTTAAAACGGGGTGCAAACTCAAGGTTTAAAAAACCTCAGTGTAGTTAAACTTGTGTTGATCTAATTAAATTCAATAGTATTGAGCCTTCAACATGCACTACCACATATAGCTTCAATATTATAATTGTTCTGTCAAAGGTCTCCTTGGAAGATTTGAACCTATGACAAGAAATACTTGTCTCACATATTTAATGTATATGGATGAATCAGATTTGAAGGGATAAAATGCATGAATCTGTATGCATGGTTTCATAATCTTTTTGGATATCTTTATACTGGTCTTTATGCATGTCACTTCTCGAACAGATAAATCAAATGGATATCTATCACCTCTGAACTCAATTTTTTGAATGATTCTCTTTTATTTAACAGCCTTGCATTATCTTTATGGATGAGATTGATGCAATTGCTGGAAGACGTTTTAGTGAAGGAACAATTGCTGATCGCGAGATTCAGAGAACACTCATGGAGTTTCTTAATCAGATGGACGAATTTGATCAGCTTGGGAAGGTATAATGCAATATCTGTTCTATTTTTTTGTGGATAAAATGTTTGATCAAACTGTAGAATTATGCAACTTTTAGCAGGATGATATACGTTCCCATATTTGTCAGCACGATCATGGTATAAAAGTTGAAATGCCTAATAGTATATGTATTTAACTATTTATTTTGACAAATCTCTTTTGTAGGTGAAAATGATAATGGCAACAAATAGACCTGATGTTATTGACCCCTCAATTCTCCGACCTGCACGTCTAGACCTGAAAATTGAAATTCTTTTGCCAAATGAGCAGTCGAGAATGGAAGTTCTTAAAATACATGATGCTGGAATAGCTAAGCATGGTGAAATTGATTATGAAGTTTTTGTTAAACTAGCAGAAGTTAGTGTCTAGAATATATGATGTTTTAATATGTTCTTTTCTTTGATTTTTACACAATTATGAAGCTGACCTACGGAATGTATGTACTGAGGCTGGAATGTCAGCTATCCGTGCAGAAAGAGATTATGTTATCCATGAAGGTAGCCAAATTTTAAATCTTCTCATGGCAACTTTGTGATTTATACTATTGAAAAAAGCTTATAATCTCCCTCTTTAATAGAATGCCAGTAGAACAGATAAGATATAATTATAGCTATCTGTTAACTATATGATGTGTCATTTTTAGGCTGTCCGGAAGCTCAATGAGGCTAAGAAGCTTGAATCTAGTTCTCACTACAATTCAGATTTCGGAAAAGACTAGTTGAAAAAAATGTTTCTTATTGAGACTTGATAGAGACCCTAGGGAGAGGTGTATGAGGATGTAAAAAACAGTGTCATATGGTGATTAGAACTTAAGCTGATGCATCAATAGAAGAAGACAACTCCCACCATCCCCTCCAGAAATAGTGTAGTTTGCACATACATGGCTCTTTTCTGACATGGGATACTTTGTGTTTTTTTGAGGTTTTGAACATCTGGTGTTCTTTTGATCTAGTTAATACACTTGTTTTTTATTGCCTTCTACATTCCCATGTGTGTGCATGGTAACGACTAACCAGTTGGCCAAACAAGATTTCGATAGCTTAAAACTGCATTGTGATGTTCGTGCCATTTGTGATGTTTGGAGCAGAACGATTAATATCAAACATTGGCAGTGGCTATTAAGAGGCCCTCCTTGTTTGGTCTGGTCTGGTTTCTTTGTATTTTTATAACTATCCAAGTCTGGTCTGGGACGAATTCACTTGTCGAGACTAATTCACTTGATATACTTATCTGGATGAATTGGTGTTATTAAACGCTTTTTCGTGCAAAATGATTTCGCTTATACCACTTGAACCAAATAACTCTTGCTAATGAGGCCTTAAAGTATCAGTTATTCTGTTTGGTTTTGACCGTCTATTCCATGTAGACTGCGATACGGTATTTACTGGAAACTGAACTGTTTGTAGCTGGTCATATTTCTGTTGGTTGTCCACCTCCTTCACGATAGAACCAGACTTGCTGTAATGGATTTTGGTACTATTTGTTGTTAAAATAGGCCATGTTATCACTTAGTACCGGGATCAGATACAAAACTGAACGTGTATTTGGTTTTGGATATAGTTTCTACTTTCTAGGGGTCATAAGTGACTCATGTCCAACCCTTCCATGTGAACCCAAGCACAATAAATGCAAAACAAGAAATAACATTTGAAAAGTAAAGTATCTGTAAGGAAAGTTATGCCAAGGGTTTAAGATTATATATATTGAATAAAGTTAGAAACCTAGAAATAGTCTCAAGAGTTGTAGTGAATCATATGTAACAATAACTCTTTTGCTAGTAGATGTATTTTATTTTTATCAACACCGCCATCATTGTTTCTTTGGATTGAAACTTTTGATTTTATTTTTCTTGGATAATTTGTATGTGAGCATTCTTAGAATCTTGTAGAACCAGAACGCACTGACAACCAGCAGCCCAACAGCCATTGCCTGTACACAGAAAAACATAATCTCAACTTGTTGTACTAACAACCCATTATAGTAGGAAGTATCACTACCTTTGTTCTAAATATCGTTCTAGGCGTCCGACTAGTCCCCGCCCAGGCGCTAGGCGGTGTCCGGGCTCTCCGATTTTTGTCTAGGCGCTCTGACTAATTGATTTTCCGTCTAGGTGAATTAGCCGGCCGCCTGTGGCGCCTAGTTGCCCGCCCAAAGCGCCTAATCGGCCACCTAGGCCGTCTAGATTCGCCGAACATTACTTTATTTTTTAATTTTCTAAGCGATAAAAGTACTTTAACATTAGCCACAGATATAAAGAAATGAAGTTGTAAATTAAGACAAAAACTATAAATGTTTGTATATATACCTAAAATTTATTATTATTTGTATTTATAACATAATGAAGTTAAGTGGTTAGTCATCATATACCGTGTATGATTAAATGTGATAATTCTACCATTCATGTTTGTTAATGTATGTGTATATATGTATTTTATACACACAAAAATACAATAATACTTATCACATTTATGCAAAAATATAAATAAAAATGCAATTTCTATGTATCCGACTAGTCCCCGACTAGGGCGCTAGGCGCCAGGCTGGCGCCCGACTAGCGCCTAGCGCCTTTTATAACATTGATCACTACTTTAAATAATTCATCAGAGAAGATGATAGTGACCTAATACCTTGATTACAATGGGATTATTGGCAGATACAGTGACATAAGTGAGGTAGGATCCTACTACCATCCTGCCAAAGGAGAAAATGACTGCGAAGCAAATCTGTGAAAAAAGCACCATCGGATATTTGCAATGTACACATTCCACTGTAAGTCTCAATCAGGGTGCAGTCAGGAGCAAAATTGGAGCGAGCCAGTATAAAGAATTTTTTAAATAAAGTTTTATGCACATTTTTAACACTAAAGATACAAATATTTTTTAAATTTGGGTGGACTGGAGCCCGATTGGTCCCCTCTACCTCCGCCCCTGGCCACGATGGCTTATGATCAAAAGCGAAATAAAAAAGTAGTTTCCAGAACATAATGCAGTTATTGTTTAGTTTGGTTGTTTAACAAGTGTGAAAATAAGGCATTTTTTTGTGTACCAAATTAATTATTTTCTCCTTCAATTTTTCTCTTGTATAATTGAAGCTAACAAATCGCTCAACTATCCATTTGTTTCCAAACAGCCACACAGAACACATAATTACCCTCAATATTATTATTTTCAAGGATGGTATACAACATGGGATCTACACTAAACAACATCGGATCTACACTAAACACCTAAGATTTTAAAAAGTTCTTGAACTCACATCTGCAATAAGATTAAGGATGGTGTCTCTATAACCTAGCTCTTTGAGAAGCTCCCTCATATGGAGAAAAGGACTGGAAACTTCTGTTATCCACAATGCTGCCACCATCTCTGATCCACACTAAACATGTCCCTTATCAACAACAGATTAATTAATAAGTAAACAAACCTAGACAACATATTGAATTCAACTTACCATTTGATATGCAATTCCAGCTCCCATCCCCACAATGGTGACCAAATGGTGCACCAAATCATCCATCTTCAATTTGTTATATGATAAACAACATCTCATATCATATATCATGTAGCCAACAGTGATTGCTAAAATCCTCATCTGCAGTTAGATTAGATGAAGAATAAGTTGCTAAATTAAAGTTGTATACCAATCTCGGAACTAATCAAAGCTCAAATTTAGTCTTATAAGGACTATAGATTATTCATTAATTAAACTCAAATCTATTTTATACTTAGTACTATGTACTACCTATGTCCCATATAAAGTTTCTCGTCTACTATTTTTCATTCAACATAAAGTCTTTTTAATGTTATTTACTAAAAAAATATAATTTCAGACACAGATTAATCTACTTTATGATTACTCAAACATCGTAAACCGTATGGGAACCTCTCTATATGATGGAGGAAGTATAATTTATATAATAATTTGTTATGACATTCAGAATAAACAAAAATAATATGGGAGTTGATTTTGCACCCCACTTTTTGGATAATGTTTGACTTTGCACCCATTTTTTTAAAAAAACTTTGACTTTGCACCCTCATCAGTCATCAGTACCAGGGGCGGAGATAGGGGTGGGCCAACCTTGGCCTTGGCCCAGCCCAAATTTAAAAAAATGTCTTTATTTTTAGTGTAAAAAATTCCGAGCAAAAAAAATTTCAAAAAGATTCTTTGTGTCGGCCCAGCCCGGCCCATTGCCCTGGCTCCGCCACTACTCATCACATATCATTTTGTGAAGAAAAATTTCTAAATGGGTTGCAAAGTCAAAGAATTTTTAAGTGAAATGAAGTGCAAAATTAAAGTTTTTTAAAATGTAGTGCAAAGTCCAATATTACCCTAAAAGTGGGGTGCCATGTCAAACTCTCCCAAAATAATATCATTCTAAATGTATAAATTAAACTATTTTTAGGGAGTACTACGTACTATTTTAAATATTCTCACGAAATAGAAAATTTTATCCTCAGTGTAGTGATCACTTATGACTTATCATGTGTATTCATTTACCTGGTGAGGGGTAGACTTGGAAGCGAGGGGGCAAAAGGGGCAGGACCAGTCATGAACAGAGAGAGTAGCCAAGGTGACGGCCAATGAAGCATGGATGACAGAAACAGTCCGGTTGCAGAAATTGAAAGAGCGCTTGGAGAGAAGCTTTGTGGTCAACAAAAAGAGCGTTGACCATGAAAACACACTCAAAACCACTGTTTTTATGATATTCTCTTCTTCTTTGCTATGCAAGAAAGAATGGCTGAAATAAGCTTCTGCCATCATCAGAGCCTTAAGAGGATGTATGATGATGATGATACACCCTTTTATGGGATATATGTATATATACTGGAAGAGGAAGATGATGATTATTACTAATTAAATGTAAGTGGTTCAGATGATTACAAATAAGTCTCTGTTTCATAAATTAATGGTTTGAAATATTGGTTGAGTAGTTAGTTGTATACATGGCCCCCAGATTGTATTTGCTGTGTAACAAACTGTCCCACATAATTAAAAGACATGGACTTCCTACTTGCATTGTTCCATCTGCCTGTCTAATTGTCTTTGAAATTAAAGCCACACACCCCTTTGTCTTATACTCCCTCCGTAATATTCATATCTTCCCACTTTCCTTTTTTGGACGTAACATTTATATCTTCCCATTTCTAAATCTTCTCATCATACCCTCAATAATTTAAAAAATAATACACTACTACACCTACGTTTTTTGGATTTATCCTTCATTCCATCACATTATTTCACCATCTTCCCATCATACCCTCAATAATTCATACCACATTTCACTATTCTTAATCTCACCCACTTTGGAAGTGGGAAGATATATGTGATACGGAGGGAGTACTACCTCTGTAACTTAAAAACCTTCCCATTTCAAGAGTAGGTAGATTAAGAATAGTGAAAGAAGATATGAATTATTGAGGGTATGATGCGAAGATAGGAGAATAATGTGATGGAATGTTAGATAGATCCAAAAAAGTAGTTGTAATAGTGTATTATTTTCAGAATTATTGAGGGTATGATGGGAAGATTTAGAAATGGGAAGACTTTTTTGTTACGAACGAAAAAGGAAAGTGAGAAGATTTTTAAAAGATTGAGTATATATAGAATCATCAAAGACAAGAGGGACCCTCAATCCGATTTGGTACTTAAACCCAAACGCATATATATATATATATATATATGTAGTTTACGGTTTACACGTTAAATTTTTACACGGGAAATGATTGTATGGAAAATTTAGGAAAGTGGTCACTTTGAATGCAAAATACTCTTTAAATTAAAGAGTGATTGTTTGCCTAAATATGTAATTTATTTTTATGTATGTAAAGGCACGGTCTTTATAAAAAGCATGCAAAATACTTTATCACGTCCGTGCCCACGCAAAACAC